GAGAGAGGATCTGCATCCCAAATGGTACCCTATTCCTTTTATAGTGCTCTATTGGGCTTATAGGACTCTGGTCAAACTAAGTGCAATATATAGGGAATAGGGTGGCATATGGGATGCATCCAGGGAGTGAAAGGGGAAGTGAGTGGGAGAGACAGCACACTTTATTCAGGGGATTTCTGGGGGAGTTATGGGGCACTTCCACACAGAGATGGAGCCTCTCCACAGAGGAGAGAGGACCCACTGATATCCCAACCCCAGCAGGGAGCTTCAGACCCAGCCAGGCTTGTGTGGCAGTACCGGGGAAGCAGTCACAGCAGTGAGTCCCATGCACAAACCCTCTCCTTCTTCACAGTACCCCTCGTCTACTCTGAGAGGAACAGGTGGTCTTCATTGTTAAACATGAAGTGTTGTGTTACGAACCTATGAGTCAGTCAGGGTCTTAGGATTCGTGCTGAACAAAAAGACCTGTATGAAAACAGAACTCTCCAGAACCAGTAGGGGGCTGAGTACACTTTCCCCTGCTTTTCCCTGCTGTAACTCATGTCTGTAGTCTAGGTTTATGTCCCAAATGGCACCCTATTCCCTACATAGTGCACTACTTTTGACAAGAGCCCTATGGGGCACTATATAGGGAATAGGGTACCATTTGGGTTGCAAGCCTGTAGTCCAGCAGGGCTAGCCAGGAGGAATGCCCGGCAGGGCGGGCGGAGAGTGGAGGGCAGAGGGCAGGCAGGCAGGATGTGTATTGTCTCAGACCACAGCGAAGAGTGTTTGTCTTCCCAGCAGGGTATGTGGCTCTCCGAGGGGGCTACTCGACAGGAGAGGGGAGGGGGTCATAATTAGAGAGAGGAAAAAGCTGCTTTTTCAAGCCTTGAGTTACGGGCAGTCACAGTCAGTAGCAGCGGAGCTATAGGAGCTAGGGGAGCTAGGGGACGGAGTGGGGAGCTCAGCTAGTGGGGAGCTCAGCTAGTGGGGAGCTCAGCTAGTGGGGAGCTCAGCTAGTGGGGAGCTCAGCTAGTGGGGAGCTCAGCTAGTGGGCATTGTGTGTTAGACGAGCTGAATCTTTCACTCACTGACTGACAGTCTTTCTCCCTCTCTCCTCTCTCTTCTCCCCTCTCCCCTCTCTCCTCTCCCCCTCTCCTCCTCTCCTCCTCTCTCCTCTCCCACCACAAAGGGCCTTCTTCAGAAGGCATTCCCCGAATATTTCCCCTCACCCTCCATGTCTCCTCGCCATCTCAGGACAGCATGGGCTGTCACACAGGAATTCACTGTTCTCTGAGGTCCAGCAAACACAGGACAGGCGGCTAGAGGAGGGAGGAAGGAATAAGGAGACATATAGAAGGAATCATCTTCTCTCTTTTCATCTCTCAAAAACATAGAAAAGAGGAAAGAGAGACAATTTCATATAGAAAGCAACCTCTCCTCTTCTTACCCCATCACTCAATTCGAACCCCTCTTTCCGTCAAAAGGCAGCTCTACTCCTCTGCAGTCTTCACCATAGCTATGAGGGGATTTCACATTGTGTGAGCATAGAAAAAAATCTGTCTGATTTTTGTTTGGTCAGTGGATCCAAGCACATCAATGATTCATTGTGCTGTCAAAAGCATATCGTATTGGTGGAATGTTGATTCCAACCAACGCAGCTTTCATAAAAAGCAACAACACACTCTGCAAGGTTTTTTTAGCCAAGGTTTTCTAAGTCTCCCATTGAATGAGATATGTTAGATTATTACAGAATATGTCCTCAATCTTTGAGAAAATTCCCCAAACAGAAACAGACAAGGTCTGTGTCCACATTAGGCCAAATTATTATTCCACTTCCTATAAGTGAAAAATGTCCGTCACTTGGTTATGACTTCATATCCAGCCAAACATCCATCTCTCAATGAGACAACATAACTGCCAACTACACGTCTGGCGGACAGTATTGTCATTGTGGTGAACCTGAGTACACAGAGGGCAAGCTCACGGAATATACGTTTACTCAATTTTGCCTTGTCACCAAGAAAGCGGTTCATTCCACTGAAGTTCAGTTCAGAGCGAATTGACTCCAAATATTTGTCTTGACGGGCCAGGCTTTTACCTCAAACTTCATTAGGTTTGTGAGAGCTACAACGGTGGAGCAACCCAGAAACACAGCATGAGAGTCTATGCAATGCTGCATGGAAAGGTAAACATTTCCCACATTTCAATGGCCACTTAGTCCTTATCTACTGATTAACTGTTTTCCTCCAACTCTCCACTCTCTCAGGATACGAGTTGTAGACCGAGTCTGTGTCCCAAATGGCACCCTATTCCCTATATAGTGGAGAACACAGGGCCCATAGGGCTCTGGTCAAAAATGGTGCACTATGAAGGGAATAGGGCGCCATTTGGAATGCATACCTAACCTTCCAAACAAATCCATCAGCCAGTCACATGTGTAACAATAGAGGTAGCCTCAGCCACTGCCGGTTTTTACAAGCATTTTCAGCTTGCTTTTTGTTTGGTTGGTTGATAACGGCCATGTAGGAGCACATGGCTTGCATTGTAGCTGCCTGCTTACCCCCTACCCACTGGTCAATCAGATAAGCAAGGCAAGGCTCCCATTCTGGGACTGGCCTTCATCAGTCTCCATTATGCATGGGGTGTTTGTCTGAGTTGAGCTGCGACTGGATGGCCCATGGAAGTCTGATTACTGCTGCTGTACAAATCACATCAACCGAACCGCTATCTACCAACACAAAGACACCATGGCCATGAAGCACATACGTATCTCTCCCTCCCAAGCCTTAATTGACTCATCTACATTATGACATGTCCCTCTAGCTATTAACACAATGAGCGGCCTTCACTTTACTAAGCACCATTAGGCTACTTGAGTTGAGACTTAGGGCTGAGAAAAAAAAGAGAGCCTAATTGAATGACTGCATCTTAAACTGCAGCCTATTCCCTTTATAGTGCAATACTTTTGATCAGAGCCCTATGGGCTCTGGTCAAAAGTAGTGGACTATGTAAGGGATAGGGTGCTATTTGGGACTTAGCCAATGTCACTGGCCATCTTCCTCAGCCAGTCTAAAGTGAACACATAAGTGGAAACTAGTGGAACTAAAGTCCCATGAAAACTGATCAATTAAAACATTAAATATGAAACGCTACCAGACCAAACAGAGCAGAGGAGAGGTGAAGAGCCATGAGGTCAAGCTGACCCTGTTTCTCCACTGTATATTACTGCATCCCAAATGGCACCTTATTCCCTAGAGTGCACTACTTTTTTCCAGAGCCTTATGAAAAACCTTATGGACTCTGGTCAAAAGTAGTGCACTAAATAGGGAATAAGGTCCCATTTGGGACGCATATGACTGCATGAACCACACGAATCACTTGTGACTTGATTAAGTTTCAAAGACGTCTCTGCAGGTTAGTTGTTGTTAGTGTGTTTCCCTCTAGCACTGTGGTTTATAACCTGTGACCACTCTATGGGTAGCATTACACTGTAAAAACACTGTAAACCCTGGTTCTGCTCCAAACATAATAAGCACGTTTGGCAAAGGTGGGAACAAGGAAAATAACATTATCTTTATACACAACTAACAAATGTACAGAGGGACAAGCAATTAACTGCATGGCAGGTCAGCCCCAACATGGAAAACAGAAAACTTCAATGGACGTGGACTGAAACGTTAGAACTCATTTGTAAACAATACGGAAATGATCAAACTTGAAGTTCACCGAGGACATTTATTTTCAACTGAAAAAAGGGAAGCCATAATGCATTTTGTGCCTTGAGGCTGAATTCCTTGTTTTTTTGTTTGAGTGTTTAAACACAGGAAACTCATTCCTGGTTAATTCCATTAACAAAAGTATTGTTTCCTCTTTCTGTATGTCCACACACACACACACACACACACACACACACACACACACACACACACACACACACACACAGACACAGAAACAGACACAAACACACACACATGCAGTAACCTTGTGTCTGGGGAAATTTTAACACTCCCTGGGTGATTAAATCTGAGCTAGGAAAAGTCAGGACCATCAGGACCCTCCTCTGGAAGACAGCAGTGGTCAACCAGGCAGTAAATCACAGAATGGCCCTTTATAGAAGCAGTAAAGCCATATATACCCAAAGTGTCTTTTTTTCACCAAACTTTTAACCTAAATCCAATGACATGGTTCAAATTATTGTTGATTTCACTTTGAATCCACATTAGTTGACAACTCAATCAAATGTAGATCAAAACTAGTGGTTGAACAGACGTCTGTGCCCAGTGGGCAGAGATTATGTTAAAACAGTACAATCTATGGGCCTACATGGTATTCAGCGAAAACACAAAGGGCATAGCAGGGAAAGAGCTTGGACATAGTGCATAGTGGGGATACAGTAACAGTATCCAGCCCTGTTCACTCTGTGTTCTCTAGCTGCCCCTCCAGTGTAAACAAAGGCTCAGAGGGAACACACACACACAGGGAGCCGGGAACAGGGCAGAGACAGAGGGAAAGGCAGCCAGCCCAGGCTGAGACATTGCTTCACCTCAGGGCACCACTGACACAGGGAGGCAGCAGGCTCATCACATTACTGTGGAGCTCCGGTTTCATAGCCTGGCTGCCTGGCTTAGACCAGGTTAACCGTTTGACCTAGTGTGGCGTAACACCTTAAAGCTTAAATGTCAAACAAGGATTTGTAACTGACCCAGAAAAATGGGTAATGATGACAAAAGGTGGACTGATATGGGAAGAGAAACGTATAGAAGCTTAGATTTCCACTAAATGGGCTTACTTCCTCAATAGAAAGACCTATGTGAATATGAAAAACATTCAGAGTAAAATCTCTCTCAGACAATGACAAGAAAATAAATTCTGAAGCAAGTATCTTTTTTTAACACTCCTTCTGCCTCACACATGAAGGCAGCGTTGCGCTCTAAATAATTCCATGGCCACTAGATGGCGGGCTTTCATGTAAAATATGCACGAACGGAGTAGAGGGCAGCCAAGCCAACTTACTTGCACTCTCTGTCCTCGAGATCAAAATGCGGGTTAAAGTTGATTAGAATTCTCTGGTGAGGTCCAGGCGCTGTTATCACCCAAACGCATTTCTGAGATGGCAAATATGATGCCGGATAGCCAGGTGAGGTGAGGTAATTCGCATTCGTTATTCTGATGTTGTCCCCACACTTGTCTGCAAGAAAGAAAGTGGAGAAAAGACAGTCAGCACAACATCCCAAAGTGACACAGATACAGGGATTCAAATTAGTAAATAATGTTGGCTAGAATTGAATGCAGAAAGAGTGTGTTTTAATCAAAATATTGTCCAGATGAAGATGGAGAGTAGGCCTATACGCGTTTTCAAAAACAAACTGGAGTCGAACATGATTGTTTGAATAATTGTTATAAATATATATTTAGGCTGATAAATTACAAGCCAACTCCATAGAAATATATACCCACGGTGTCTAAATAAATACCAAACAAATGGAATATGCGTTTTGGCTACTTTGGATAGGTCTACCTGCGTAAAGACACACGGTAAAGTCAATAATTTCTGACCGTCATTGCGCTAAAGATTATGAATTTCTCCCACATTTTGATAAATCTGTTATATTTACTTTTCATTGTATTAATTTGCTCAGTTAACACAGTGTGGTACACATTTTATTTTACAGGCCTATAGAAGGATGGTATACAATACAATTGTTCACAAACATTATCAAAAGTTTCGGCTATAGCCTACTGTTAATTGTAATGGTTTGTGTTGGGCCAAAACGGTTGATGTTAATCGCTTGTCATTTAAAGTAAAAATGATTTTTCAAAAATAGGCTACTTTAAAAATCTGTGAAATGTCACCAACAGCTATTATCTAGAACAACTCCTAATGACAGGGAGTAATGGATTAATGTAGCGGACAGGGAGCTGCTGTGGCTGTACCGGGGTATGGCTGAGCCTCCATGGGAATGGCACATATGGTGCCATGCGACTTGTAGACAATGTGTCATATGGCAATAACGCCAAACAATTAAAAATGATAGACTCTAGTTTTTTCACAATTTATCTGTGAGGCGCATAATTGATTTGTGTTTTGGGGGTAGACTATGTATTCATGAATACATAAAACCAAATATCTATGCCATCTATTTTTCGTTTGCTGAGTAATCTATATTAACGAATGATGCTCGTAATGTTTGTTAGATTCACGCAGATCCTTATAAAACTTGTTTTCCTTTTCATACAGACCAATTCTCCAAGCGCCGGAGAATAACGAGTACTTTCTCGTGTCTAGAGACAAGCCACTTCAAGTAGCCCAAATTAGCCTCTCAGTTTATCTTCATTTATGTGTGCGCAATCATGCTTTTCTATTATAGCTACCATCTGCCATGTAAAGTACTTGAAAATGTGTTTTGAATAGGATACAATGCAATGTTCAAGGGAATTGGAAATATAGCGGTTCATTCTTTCTTATGTCTCTCTTTTCATTTTATCGTAAATGAGTTTGCTCATAGTGGAAACGAAGCAATGAAGTGCCGCCTACATGTATTTGCTACAGCAATGAAAGAGGGAAGTACCCTAGTACTAGGCTACTGTGGCCAAACTTTTTATAACATTTGAAAAATAGAACGACCCACACTACAGTAAAATACCTGTGACAATGGCAGCACTAACCCGCGGGGAAGACAGGCAGGTGAATGCGTAACGAGTCAGAAAACATCCGCGGAGGTTTAGAGACGGTTAATCCTTAAAAACATCAGGATAAGTATGCTAGCCCAGCACAGCCGAGGGAATATCAGTTGTCACTTACCATTTTTGAAAGCCTTAGCGACGAAGAAGATTCCCATTAAGAGGAACAGCACTAATCCACAATGCATCCTTGTTTTGTTAGAAACAAAATAAAATGAGTAAAAACTAAATAAAACTCCTCCCAAGGTTTTTCAGGTCCTGTTATTCTTCCTTATTTTCAAGCTTGGGCCGAAAGAAAACAAATAAAGCAGAAGTGTCTTGACTAAAGCAGTTGAAATGTGTCTGGATATGTCTCAGGTCCGCTGCTGTATCCTGTCATTCAGGTCCGGTTTCCTCTCTCTTCCAGTTGGGTTCCTCTCTTAAACGCTGGCGTTGCCATTTCCTCCACACAAGTAGTCGGAGCCAGTAAAAGAAGAAGTAAAAATCCCCGGCACCAGCACCACTCCCGTTTCAACACCTTGGAAACGATGACCAGGCAAGAGGTAATCCGTCGGTGCTAAATGGAAAGAAATATTGAGTGTAAGCAGCAGTGGTGATATTCGTTTCAAAAGTGGGCAGATTAGCAAATAACCTCGCGTTGTGCCCCTTTGCGCTCTGCTGATTCAAAAATCTGACAAGACACGAACTAGTAATACTAACATCTGGCGAAAGTCATTGCCATAATAGAGGCTTAAAACGATGTATACAACCCCTAAATTGCGACCGCTTTTCTCTTTTGAGCGGGTGTGCTGCCTGCTTCAGCCTGGTTGCTCGAGCCTAAATCTCAGAGGTCTCTGATTGGTTTGATTACAAATATGCATAGCCCAACCTATGGACGCCACCTCTCTCTTTAAAAGCGGAGGTCTCCGTTCCTGTTCCGAGACTCACTCTGTCTCACTTGCAGATCACCAGCCAGACCTGAAAGTGACAGCGCACACGGACTGTCACACTGTCACTGGCTACTGGATGTCACTAAACTCCCAAATCAACAACGCTAACAAACAGCTCAACTGGAGGACAATAACATAGACCACTACTGCCTCCAAAACCTGTATTTTTGTGTCCCAAACGACATCTCTTAAAGCCGCTCTGCTAATTCTGAATTCAATGGAGCTCACTAGGAGAGAATAGCCTCCTTCAAATGCTATTTGGTATTCAATATCGAATTATCATTCAAAAGAAGAAATATTGATTCGCAATATTAATAGATTTTTACCACATCTATGTTTACGCATCAATGGGCTATGTAGATATCTTAGTTAAAGCATGAATCACGATAAAGCATTAATAAAACGTCACATTGAGATTTAGGGGAAATCAATTGCAGTGCAAAGCATCAAGCAATTTGCCTTTTTAGACTATCTGTCCTTATGGCACTGCACAAAAGGAGGAATTGCATTCAATATGAAATGCTTTCGACTAGCTGCTATGCTCACCAAGTCACAAAATAAAACGGAGTGCAACTACTATGACACGAATCCAAGGGCGTCTAACATTCCTTACATGTGACACTGGAATCTGAATTACAGAGTAATTCAACATTTCAAGCAATACAAAACTTGCACATTCCCTGCGTTCTATGCTGTTCAGAGAGATAGTAGCCTACTTCAATGCAGTGTATTTTTAACACAATGTGAATGAAAGCTAAGAGCCTGCATCACTCAGTGTTCTTCATATAGCAAAATTGTTCTGTCTCTCCTGATTTCAAGCCATGTAAAGAATACAAATGGCAATCACCTGCGTCTCGTAGACTCACTCACAACCCCATATGTATCCAATATCGAAGCGAAGCAGCTTTCGGCAGGCTGACAGTTTCCCCTCTCTTTTTCTCTGTCAAAGTCTCCACACCTCCTTCCAAATCCGTAAACCTCAAAACCACCACAGGAAAGGACAGGTCTCCACAGCTGACGAGGGAGGAAGTCAATTCCCAATTATTTCCCCAGTCAATCAGTAGCCTGTAGTACGCCGGAGCCGGTCCGGGCAACCTTGTAGCTCAGCACCTATCCGCTCCGCGCAAAGGCACGCACCCGCTGCCAATTCCTTCCCGGAGACTCAACTCAGCTCACACACAGCCAGCTATCCGCTGCTCTCACTAGTATGAAGTGAGGGATACGGGATTTGTGCTTACAATGAGCAGCACGGCGCCGGTAAAAGTCAGTCTAAAAATATCACCCAAGGTTACAAAATGTCAATATCCTATAGATCATTGACTGCTTGAATCGAATTTAGCATTTCTTATTCCTCTCTCTGTACTGCGCGTCACGCACCTCTCTTGTTTCTGTGCTCGGCTACTGTAGCTCTGATGAGAACGCAGGGTTGGTTTGGAGTGTCCGGCGTCTCGAGACCCAGCCAACCAGTCACACGCCCATTTACCAGGGGGTTGCCTCGACAATCGAGATGTAGATTCAACTGCCTGCCTCTCTTATCGCAGTCTACAGAATAGACTGAGTCACATTAGAGATTAGGACACATCTGAACACACCCACAACATTAGCACTGATAATACAACTGCCATTCATCTTACTCATACGTTCAAGGCTATTATTGATCATTTTTGTGTAATGATCTACTAATAAATAGCCATTGCCCCAAACTGCATTCTTACAGTCTATATGGACCTTGTATGAACAGTCTTCTGAAATGCTCACATTGAATGTGTTGAAATTCACACTTAATATTGACTAGCAGTCTGGTATGGACTTATTTGGTAGCAGGTACACTCTTAGATAAAAGGGTTCCAAAAGGGTTCTTGTGCTGTCCCCATAGGAGAACCCTTTTTGGTTCCAGGTAGAAACCTTTTTGGTTTCAGGTACCATTTTGGGTTCCATGTAGAACCCAAAAGGGTTTTACCTGGAACCAATAAGGGTTCTTCAAATGGTTCTCATATGGGGACAGCCGAAGAACCCTTTTAGGTTCTAGATAGCACCTTTTTTCTAAGAGTGTATAGCCTACCATTGAGAGACCTGGGCCAGGGAGCGCATATAGGGCACACGCGATCCTGTAAGTCTGGAACTTGCTATTGGCCAGAAGTGACCCTGTGTCATGATATTAATAATATGGATATTGTGAACATAAAACAAATGTGAGTTATTGATTGACATGATAATTTAAACAAGCTGAACTCCTATATGTCAACGTTAGAAAGACCTTTGGAGATTGTTAGGCTATTCACTAAAATATATTTAACTCCCATTGCCTTCATATTGAAATTAATCACATCAAATGCACAAAAATGACATCCCGCCCTGATATTTAGGGGGGTTGAATACATTGACTCAGACTGCATTCTAAACACACCAGGGTGGCACCCAGGTTGGAGGGTCTGGGAGCTGGAGTGTGGAATAGTGTGATCGCAGTAACCACAGTAGGGAAACCCAACCGTAGCTCTCTCCGGCCTGTAGGTGGTGTCAAGAGAGACAACCTGCTGGGGAATTCCCTTATGTCTAATAAGACTTTTATATTTACAAACAAGTGTATACTTATGATTAGACTCTTGGGTCTTCATTTAATTAAAATCGCTATGCAGAAATAATTATTTCTCTTTTTCAGGGAAGGTAATCAAAATCAAAAACTATTTTATTTTTTATACTGTGGATATATTGTCAACTAATTACATGATCAAAAACAAGACATTAGACCTTGGATCTTTACATCAGTCTTCTTATTATAAGACTGCAGAAGAATGTAAGTATGTATAAAGGCCAAACAATGCCAAACACCAATAAAGGTCACAATACTGAATATATACAGTGGTGTAAATACTTAAGTAAAAATCATTTAACGTTTTTCTTGTTGTTGGTATCTGTACTTTACTATTTATATTTTTGACAACTTTTACTTCACTACATTCCTAAAGAAAATAATGTACTTTTAACTCTATACATTTTCCCCGACACCCAAAAGTACTCATCAGATTTGGAATGTTTAGCAGGACAGGAAATTGTCCAATTCACTCACTTATCAAGAGAACATCCCTGGTCGTCCCAATTGGCTCTGATCTGGCAGACTCACTAAACACAAATGCTTCATTTGTAAATGATGTCTGAGTGTTGGAGTGTGCCCCTGGCTATCCATAAATAAATAAAAAACAAGAACATTGTGCTGTCTGGTTTGCTTAATATAAGGAATTAGAAATTATTTATACTTTTGCTTTTACTTTTGATACTTAAGGATATTTTAGCAATTACATTTACTTTTGATACTTCAGTATATTTAAAACCAAATACTTTTAGACTTTTACTCAATTAGTATTTTACTGAGTTACTTTTACTTTAGTCATTTTCTATTAAGGTATCTTTACTTTTACTAAAGTATGAAAATTGGGTACTTTTTCCACCACTGCCTATCACTCCTCTTCAAAAAAATTGCAAATATCAAATTGGGATGTTCTCTTTCTGTTTTGTTTTGTTACGCCATAGCCATATAAAGGAAGTGGAGCAAGATAAGACAATCATGGCCCCAACTAATGGTGCACTATTTCTAGTCTTCTTAGAGAGAGAGGAATGATCTGCTTTATTCCATCCACCACTGGTAATTCCCCCTCTTGCAGATAACACTATATTAGAGAGGTACTGGGCCCCTCTATCAAAGCGCCACTAACTAGACTCGTGCGTCTTGTGGATAACAAGGCTTTGGAACAATGGGACAGAGTAATTTCACAATGGTGGCTGAGGCAGCCGCCATATCTGAAATGAAGGGGATTGTGAGGGAACAATGAGAGAGCCATTTAAAAGATTTGCCCCTTCATATCCCACAGTAATCTTTAATACATTCCTATGGTATAATTAGCCAAAGCACAAAGGCAGACATTTTCTTTTTCCCTCGTCGTGAGCTGGGCTGTCGGCCTAATTTCATTAGGTGAGCCTTGACTTCTGCTTGCTTCTTCTTCTTTCCCTAAAGAGAAGAGAACTGCCCAATAGACCAAAACATATGTTAATTTATTAAAAACAAACTCAGGGTGAAAGATTTCATTATTTATTTTCTAATCAACAGAGACTATAGTCAGTCATTGAAGGCTAATCTGCTTGGAAAATGAAGAGTGACTAAGCAGCAGGATTAATGTAGGCAGCATCCCAAATGGCACCCTATTCCTTATATAGTGCACTACTTTTGATCAGGGCTGTAGTGTACTTCATAGGGAATGAGGTGC